AAGTCTTCAATAGTCTATGCACATCTATAGAGACACATTTTTTTTCTTCACAAATAAAATAAGAGCACCTACTGGAGATTGTAAATTGCATATGAAGTTCTTAGTCAAGTTTTTTTCAATATATTCTTTAATGCAGCTAACTTATTTTGCAATAAGTTATAGATTGGTTCAAATGATAGTTGAGCTTCTTCTTGCAAATCAATTAAACAATAATAAGATTGATGCTTTAGAAGAATATTTCTATTTTATTTTTTAAAAATGACTTAGAAATCTTGATACTAGTTAGAAATACCACTTAAAGTCTTTCTATCATAAAAAATAGATGTGGCATGTATAATAAAAGATAATCCTTCTTTTGCTACATGGATGAAAGCTTTTTTATCTTTCAATAAAAGTTTGGATATACTAAACTTATATATTTCTATGGAACTAATGGAATTTTAAATCAAACTATGAGAAAAAATAAGATTACAAAAAATCCAATCTATTTGAAGATTATATTTTTTAAACCATAATACTTCTAAAATAATTAAATTAAAAAAAGATCTTATTACATTAAATATTACTAAATTATTATGATTACTATTTGTTACTTCTAAAAGAATAGTTTCATATGTAACATCTCCAGAAGACAAAAAAACAACTATCTATTATTTTTATATACATAGATTTGATTTTCTTAACTAAAAATATATCTTATTTTTTGACAAAGTTTTTATCTATAAAATAGGCTAAGGCTCTTAAATCTAACAAGGCTAAAAATTTGTTATTTTTTGGATCTAAAAAAACTTCTAGTATAAAACAAGGCAAAAGATCTGAAGAAAAAATAAGACCTTTACTAGGAATTATGTAAGATTTTAACTGCACGATTCCTTTTGTAGTTGGAAAAACTTATTTTTTTTGACATATTGTCCTCTTTGGCAGTCATGCTCTTCATTTTGTGATTGGATTGCTTCTTTGAAAAATGTTAAGCAATATGCTAGGATTCTCCATAATATAGGCACAAATCTTCTTAATAATGATAAGTCTTTTTTTATTGAATAAGAGGTTTAAAACATACCATGTCACTTTATATAGGTTCTAGCTTAGACTGATAAGCTTCTAAAAACTTATAAGATATTACTATGGCTTAACTTATATTTCTTCAATCAAATCTTTGTTTTTAGCATCTTTCAAAGAATTGATTGTTACATGTAATGGCTTGAGCAATAAATTGCTTCAATGAATCTATTCTTGACATTGTCAATAATAAATCTTTGATATTATCTTTTAACCCATATTGAAACTCATTCATAAAGGCTTTCTCATTCTAATCTATGTTGCAAGCAAGGTTTTGGAATTCAATAATATATGTGATGGCTAAATGTGATCTTTATTGTAGTAATATGAGCTTGATCTCTACTTCTATTTTTTATCACTTTTTCTAAATATAATTATAAATACTTCTAAGAATAAATTCAAATCATAAAGTAATTGTGAATCTTTTTTCATCAAAGGTACAAATTAAAAGAGAGCGCTTCTCCATAGAACTACATCTATGAATCCAACTTGAGTAAATCTATTGAAAAATAAAAAAAATGCAACTTTAAATAGAACTTAATTCGTCACAAAAAACCTCAAAATTTTGATTTTATTCCATCAAACTTCTCAAGCATACTAATTCTTGCCTCCATTGTGGTTGTAGAAGTGAGACTTCTTGAATTTGATTGTAAAGCGGATCTACCTACTTTCTTCAACTGCATAATTTTTTAGTATATACTTTGGACTTTTTTCATATGTGTAAGAATAGCATCTCCATAATTCACATTACAAATACGTGAGATTTTTATGCTTAGAGTATTGAAAAGTTGTAAAGATCTACAATAGTTACAAATATATTCTCACTTCTATTGAAAGTAGCATCTATAATCTTTTCTTCTACAAACAATTCAAAAAAATTCAAAAAAAATAATTTAAAAGTGGATAATCTACAACTTCTAATGTTAAATAAAAATTTCTAGAAAGAAGGATAATCTATTCTTTTTAAGAAAAAAGTTAGTAATAAAAAATTAAATTATTTGTTTAAAGATGGATAATCTGCAATCTTCAAAACACAACAATAGAAGTGAGATAATCCACTTACTTTTAAATCTATACCAGAAAAATAAATTAAAACTCTTGTGAAATTATCAAAGATATGAATCTTGAAGAATTGAGAGATTAAGACACTCTTTTCTTACTCAAAAAGACTACATAATCATTCAAAGATGACATAATATTAAATTAAGATGGCTATTATCAAAAATAAGAAAACTAGAAAGTTTTGATACAAAATTAAGGACTAGAAAGGCATTAACAAGAGTGAAGAAGGCTTCTTTTTTGCCTCCATATATATTATCTAACTAAGACCTACATAGTAATGTTCTATAGGACATCCAACACGTGTTGACTTTACTAGACACATGTCTTAACTTAGGTAAATTTTTTATATGTGTATTATATAGTTAGTTTGTTCCATAAGCTACCAACACATGTAGCACATGATTAACTTGTTGATCAAGTTTCTTCTACCAATCAACTACAAATACATATAAAGTCAAAACTATATCTATGAAGCTTCTAGAAAGCTTTTTTAGAAGATATTATAAAATTAATCTACTTTTACATACTTCTACTTAATCATATAGGTAATTATTGGAATAAATATATATGTTTGTAATGAAGAGATTTCTTAAATTTTTTTTAATCATTGCAATGCTACTTTCAATTTTCTATGATTAAAAAACTAATTGTTGTCTTGATAAGTATAAACTTGTTTTTTTTTTTTTTTTTTTTTTTTTTTTGGCCTTGTATCTTCGAAATCAATTGTATTTTTTAAAATAGGATTTGAATCCATATCTGAAACTTGTGCCTTCAAATAATACAGCCATATCATCTTAACTTTGGTTTAATCGATTCTATTGTACTGAAATTGAGATGATAATAAAAATAATAAAAAAAATACTATATAATCTTATCTCAAGAAAAGAAAATCCTTGAAATTTAATAATAGTATAATAAATTAAAAACATATCAAATCTCACAAATTTTAAAGCATTATATAAATTATATTATAAATAAGAAATAATTTAGATATAATAGTATACCTTGTCTCTCACATTAAAGAAGAATGTTGATAAATTTGATATTTACCACACTAAAATTATATGCTCCAGAGGACAAAATTTATTAAAGCACCACCTAATTTTTCCACATTCAAGTCTTATGTAGGTTGTAAAGGACTCTTTTCCAGCCACACATTTGTTATTAGACAAAAAAATTCTTGAAAAATAATCTTTGTATGTGTTACTTTGCTTTTACAACTTCCTTCCTTTCTACAAGTGAATTGACATTGGATTTAATTTGTTTACCAAATTATTTGAATTTTCTATGTTTAGAATGTCAAATATTGATTATTTTTATTAGAATAACATATCTTTGACAATCAATCCAAACTTTGATGAGGTTGTAAAATATATACATTTTTTTAAAAATAAATGATATATAATATTTAACTTATTTTGATAGTTGCTTAATAATTCACTTTAAATATAACAATTAATCTTTTGCATTAATTTGGAAAGTTGAATCATATATGGAAGGTAGTTAATAGTTGTTTCTATGTGGTGAGATCAATTGGAGTAGGGGTATCAATTTGTAAAAGAAGATGTCTACAAAGATATCTCACAAGTGAAGAATGATTAGTATTGCTACTAAATGTGGAGTGGCATTCAATATGAGTTTTAAAAACAAATGAAAAACAAATTATTTGTAATGTGAAACAAAGAAGCTCTATAACTTAGATTTGTTAGCTTTTCTTTATCGGCAATGTTGATGCATCATTCTTTCTTGCATTGAATCCATTGCCATCTTCATTGTTATTGTTTTTGTAATAGTTGTTGTTGATGAAGCAAAAGAAGAAGACAAGAAAGGCAATAATATACTTTGTAGAAGATAAGTTGCTATCTTTGCAATGAGAATGTTTCAAGCATATTTCAATAGGTTTGAGCACTAAATTAGATAGTTCCACAAGCAAGTAACACAATGAAATTTTACTACAACAATATGTCAATCACATATTATTCCTACAAATTCATGTTATTATAATTTGTATCATCACAACTCCATCACGCATCTCCCAATGTTAAGCCAACTTGGCATCCTTCTTCTCTTCTTGCGGATTATGTTGCAATAATGTGAAATTGTATATGGATTTTACTGCACTACTTTCCAATGGTCCAAATGCCCTATAATACACTGTGAGGCACACAATTTCAAATGTAGCTCTTAACTTCAAATTTCCCAATTTACATGTACTTGGAGCTTAGCTTGCTATATGTTATCAATAGCTCAATTTTCAACAAACTTTTGTAAAGTAAAAGAGGCATTGCTACTAAGTCACCTTTATATTTAATACAATGGTAAGAAAACATTCAAAATTCTAAAAATAGTGGTATATGATCAACACTTCATGCGTAAGTTTTCTTTGATTAAAGCTCTTGCATGCTTTTCTTCGTAAAACATCCTGAAATAGCACATTAATCTTAATTAATGTCGCAATTAATCTTAATTTTGCTTCACTTTTGATGCAACAAATCAAAGAAGATTTTTGACTCATCTTCTTTATTCCCTTCTATTGTTTTATATAGTAGATATTCTTAAAAAAATTATATTCAATATTCTTTTTTTGTTTCTAAAGGGAAGATACAACAATTGTACAAGTGTAGCAAAATTGGAGAGTTGCTCCAAGATCGTTATTCAATATCCTAAGTTGATAAAGAAAAGGTTTGATTTTCAAATTATAAGAGTAGAGTCAAGTCTAGAACTACATGGGAAGATACGGGAGTTCACAGTCCTGTGTGAGGTATCAATGATGAATACTCATGTAAATTAAGTTTCACCAGATTTTTAGTGACAGCCATAAACCCTAAACCTGGCCAGCTGAAATCCATGCAATGCCACAAATCACTAGAAAAAGTCAATGGTGAGAATGACTAGACCTAGAATTTTAATCCAAGGTCTCAATTTTTAAAAACCGTCACCAATTTTTTGTATAAAGTGGTGTGACATCCACATGAAACATTTCTAAAAGATTCAAATTTGCAGCTTTGCTAACTTCCTGAAGGAGAACCACAAGACTGCGTCTGCAGAAACTCTGGACTGATGAACCCACTGCACAAACCTTCCCTCAGAATGACAACCGGAAGATGTTTAACTGGAAAATGTCATCAGAGATACCATCATCTCTTCATGCAACAATCCAAGGCACGATAAATGCAGCAACGAGGGACCAGTAATGGATGCTCACTATCAACCCCAGGCCACTGATGTTCAACCCTCACAGGAGGATAGCCATCATGATGTTCCAAACTGAAGTCGGTGTCAAGTTCAAGGGGACCATTGGGAAATATGCTCATGTGCCGATCATCATCACTCTGGTTCGGACTCCAGAATGTCACTGACACCAGGATATGGGCTCTCGAACCAGCGATGCAAAGGATTGTCTTCAGGACTCATAGGACTCAAAAATTCACCATCGTCGCTATCGCTATCAGAGCTGGATGAAGAATCAGTAGAGTATGTCCCTAGTGGTTCGCTGTCACCCCTATCGTCGAAGCTGTCTGACATTGAGCCACTTTCACTGCTGCTTTTCATAAAAAATACAGCCAAATCAATGACCACGGCAACCTAATAATCAGACTCCAAGGCAATTACGTACTTGGTTCATATTCTAAATAGGCTGGGATACAGTCTTAAATTTTATGTAGTAAATAAAATGACTTCTCTATACATGCATAGTAATAAAAAATAGATCCCACGAATTCAAACCGAAACATGTGAAACAGAATAGCAAATTAGATGTAGGAAACACAAATCATTTCAGACCTTTTCTGATCAGGGAAATCAGCGAGAAGACACAGCAGAGTCCGCTCTTGTCGCACCCGTAATATAGCCTGCTTTGTGCTGCAATATTCACTCACAGAAAAAGCAAGGATGACGTAAGGTCATATAAGATGCACCCGTCTCATCGTATGTAAAATAGTGCAGAATCATGCAACAGATACTGTTCAACTCACCACGCTTACATGGATAATCTAATAGACGCCTACATATACAAGAAAATGACAAAACAGCCTTAGAAACACTAAAATTCCGCACCCAACACCTCTCTCTTCAGCTTACCTTGAGCTCAATGGTTTGTGAAACCAATCTCTTGCTGCAAGTCCACCCTCGTTGGAGATATCCTACATCCACAATCTTTATGTCACACGAAGATCCATAGTTGCTACTAGTCGCATGGAATTAATTAGTGTATACAGCAATGCTAGTGCATAATCATGCCAAACACAATAAAAACTAAAGCCACATGGTTTGCAATTTAGTCAAGTTCTCTAGGGGCAGCGAACTTTCACATCTATGCTGAAGTAACTAGAAACTAGCTGTAGTGAAGTATAAGCAGTGCACTAACAAGATGGCGAAGATTCTTGCATTCCCCACTGATGAGCATGTATAAGAAACGCTCCACTTCAGCCTGTTCTTATCACAATGACAGACCTTTCGTTAAGAACCGAGAATTTTGTGCACAGTCAAACCTTCAGCATTCAAGTGTCTCCTAAGAGAATCACAAAACGACCAGCAAAAAATTACATTCGTAGAGCATATGAAGCCTTACAAAGCCAGCTTTTAATACCATCTCTTGTTAAGTTCAAATCCACCAATCCCAGGAACTGTCCAATTAAGGAGTAAGAATAGAAAACATGCTTCAAAGCGAGTAATTTCATTCATTTATTAAAAAAATATCTCATATAATTTAAGACATTTAGCCCTTCAAAGAAACAAACAATTTTGAATTTCACAAAATTGTCAACGACACTTGCTCCAGTAGCAATTCAACAATTATACTAACCACAATCATCAAAAATCAGTTTTCACCCCAAGTCAACTTAACATACCTCTTTAAGCCTATGGCAATCCCGTAGCAAAATTGTATTTAATTGCGATGGTTGATCTCCTGGTCCCACAATACCTCTACCCACAAAATAAAAGGCCGATTTCAGACCCAAAAAAACAGAGAGAAAAAAAATGGCACTCAAATATGTCGCCCAAACATGATACTGGACAAAGAATGTCCAGAAGCAATAAAATCCTAGAATATTCTTAGGTTGAAGAGTACAAGTACCTGAGAAATACACCAGTAAGCTTTAATGCTCCACAAAAGTCTACTGTAGACAGCTTGAGCAAACCCTATGAATTCAACATCTTTCCAGAGTCAAGGAAAGTAAGGACATGTGCAAGACAGGATGCACACGGCTTATAGGAAAACTCCAGAAAAATCCAAGAGACTCATACCTTTAGCAACATGAACACCCTTCGATCGGATACTCCATAGCCGCGCAAGGCAAGGTAAGACAGATCAGGACACCCCTTGATAAGCTGGTTGCATGACTTTGTTTTCAGGCTCTCTTCGGGATCTGAAAATCAAGTACTGTAGATTATTCACATTTATACAGGGCCTGGAACTGAATGCTTTTGCAAGTGCACACAAGTCTGAAGCAGAGGTCTGATGCTTACATTGTTTCCAATCCATTTTTCCTTGCTCGCAGTACAGACGGTTGAGTTTCGGGCAGTGAGACCCCAAGCACTCTATTAAAGTCCGCATACTTATTCGTCTGCTGTACATTCGATGTCATTATCAACAATAGTTGGCAGAATCACATTAATCATTATCTCCATGAATCATGTGGAGATAACCAGTTATACACATGTACAACTTTTGTGCGAGAACTGTTCAACTAACTCCAGTCTCCAGGAGTTCAGAAAGCACCTACGTTCTCAACTTAAATGATATGTGCTAAAACTAGACGTAATTTGCAAAAAAGATTGACATTGCGTATAAATAGACTTACAGGCCCACAACTTCCAGATCAGTCAGACAAGGGCACGCAGATAGTGCTCGGCAAAGGTGGTGAGTGTCCATCTTCTCCAAATTAAAAAGGTGAAGTTTGGTCAATGAAGACCTGCACACACGGGAGCAGTTAAGAAAAGTTAGCAGCTTTGGAGTGAACTTTGAGAAGATGAGAGGCAGCATCACCGATCCAATTATTTCATTAATTCCGACTGGCGGTGGCTATATAATAACTTGCCAACACGTAGCTGTAAAAGAGTCACAAAAAAAAAATTATACTTGAAATACGGAGCACCACCAGTGCAGAGGACTGCATCAGCAACAAACTCACATTATAAAATGGAAGGCAACAAGCACAATGCAAACCAGATGATCTGTCATACCCAGCAAGTCCATGATATTCTGTAAGGGAGTCGAGACAATATTTGGTCAAGGAATCACGACCAAACGCCATGCATCTTGTAGGAAAAACTCGATTGGGTGTAACAGAGAGATCAACAGGAAACAGCTGTAGCTCGCCAGCTGAGTCTAATTTTGGAACAATCATCACCGGAGGTGTCCTGTTCAGACGAGGTAGTGCTCCCAACTTTAAAGACCTGTACAACCAGCCACACCAGCAAGGCTAAATTGTCCAACTCCAGAAAATTCATGCAGATTACTGTAAAAGAAAACCTGCGACGATTTTTCGAAATATTAATCACTATCCCATAAACCTTGGTCTCCCTACAAATTCCCTCCGACATATGTCAAACTTTTCCTTTTATCCATAATATAGGTACTTGAAACTGAAGCGCTCGATTCAAACCTAGATTCATAATTGAATAGACGTCTGCCTTCACACTGTCAATCTCCAAGTTTCTATAATGATAGCAGAACCTCAACAGTAAATTGCGAAATAGTACTCGTTAAGAATTCAAAGAGATTCCGGATACTACCGGTACTTAAACTGGTACTTAAACTGGTTGACTACTTTGTAAGTGGTGGCCAGACCTACGACGGAAGTGCTGTCCTACATGAATATCTGGAAGGTGAACTTGTTTGGCAAATAAAAGCCACAACATCAACCACTTCTTGGCAAATTCAAGTGACCCGCCATTCAAGCACGCGTACATTAAACACCAGACTCACCGCAAACATTGACCAGCTTGATGAACGAGCTTGGAAACAGTGTGATTGCCAACAGTGACCAGTCCTCGCATGGTCAAATCCACCTCCACATAGCAGGCGGGATCCATGGCCATTCTGTTAAACATACTGCATGCTACTGCAGCCTGACACAAGCTTTGTGTGCCTAAGAGAGAGAATACCTTCACAAAAAACAAATAAAATCGATATACTTATTTAAGGGGAAAAAATAATAAAAAATTGAGAAGAAAATTAAGTGTCCTCAATGATATACGTCGGGTACAATCAGACCTAATTTACGAAAAGAAAACCATCGGTCCTACGAAATCATGAAAATTAAACGAATAGTACCGTCACATACGCTTCAAGACTTGCGATCCTATTGAACAGGTCCTCATCCCTACATCAAAACCCATCATCACTCACCTTGACCGTCAGGTCGTGCGTGAGAGGCCACACGGCAGAATTGTGCTGAGCAGCTTGCTGCCGCGTCAATTTACCCGCCACCTCGTGCAACCGCAAACCAAAGCACGCTGACTTCTCCAAAACGTATGCCTTCTCGAATTCCGACTTCTGCTGCATAATAATCCGCTCCAACGCACTGCTCAACATCCCTAGGTCATCATTCCTCACCAGCGTCTCCAACATAGCATCCATCTCCTCACTCCACCCCTGCTCCCCTGCCACCAAACCCCCGCCCCCGCTCGACCGCCTCTTCTTCCCTCGAAGCAAGTCCGCCTCTCCAAGTGGTTGCGACATGTTGTCACCACATTCGCTTCCTTCAACGTCGTAATTCACCTATTCTCCTTCAACGCAGCCACAAATCTCCTCCAATCCATCAATTCACAACCTCTTCAATCCGCAACAACCTGCTGCTACACACTTAATGCAATAGCGCCTCATCCAGGTGCCGAATTACAGCACACCAATGCCTTACCGACGGCGCAACAGTGTCCATTACGAAATCGCCACAACTCGCCTTCAATGCAACATTTGCGAGCGGCGTGCATTCTCGCCAGTACACTCTCTTCAGCCGAGGCATCGTTAACGAAGACATGCGTTTCTCGTCGTCGTCCGTCTCTGGCAGTGGTAATCAGTTCAGACGAAGATAATCTCCGTCACGGTCGTTCGTCTTCTTGGATGCCGATGGCTTGCTTGCCATGTGATCTCTGCCTTGAATCCGTTCTACATGGGCTTTGCTTTGCTTATTTTTCTTTTCATTCATTGAATTTTCTATAATTTTTCATTATAATAAGAAAAGGTCCATTAAATTTAAAACTAACAATAAAAAATTAACTTTTTTCTTGACTATTTTGAACCATATGTCTTATCATTCAGAATACAAAAAAATAAAAAATACTTCCAATATTTGTGTATTATTTTAGAAATAATATTTAAATTTAATAGAATATAAAAATTTAAATTAATCCATTATAATCAAATTATACAATATGAAACTGAATACTTAATTGCATAACATAATTATTCATCACAATGCTATCTAGCTCCACATACGTAGATGACATAGGTTCAGCTTCAGTAGGTTGCTTGAAGAGCAGATTGATAGTTGATTTTAAATTCAGGAAGTTGCTCTCTTAGAGGTGGAAAACTAGACAACCGTGCGTTTTCACAACCTTGATTTGATTTTGAAGAGGCACAGTTACACATCCGTTATAGATTCTGTGCAGGGCATTAGAGGTACTGGTAGCATGAAGCAATCACTGGTGCGGAGCTTAGGGACACATGCAAACGCTTGGAATCTGAGGATTTAACTTTACTGTCTAATACATACCACAGAAAGGAGTTGTAAACAGAATAACCTACCTGTACATTAGTTAATGCGCACACGATTGGGATTCCACAGGCATAATAAAGAACCTACTGGCTGCGATCAAGACGCACAGCAGGGCTCAGATGGAATTGAGGAATGTAACAGATTGACGCCATGTTGAGACAATTGAAAACGTTCGCCAAGTCTGAACACTTGAATGTGATATCTTATCAAGCCAGAACTAAAATCCAAAAACTGATACCGTATCCCGATAAACAATTTACCGCCACTATATAACACAATCGACGCATGTCCTTGGCTCTCGCTTACACAATCCAGATCCATTTAACACTTCGTCATGAGAGATTCTTTTCGGTCCCTCTATCATCTGGGTTTCTACCGGAATGTTGCAATCGGCCAGACGCTGAAACCCCCCTGCTCACCTTCTTGTTCACACTCGGTATCTCTAACTGCACAAGCTTACCATATATGAGCCTGACTCCAGACTCGGTATTCACCGCGTGCAGATGCAACGCGAGACATTTTCCAAATGTATTCTTCACTCTACATAAACTGTCATTTCTATTTGATGAGAAATTTATTATGACCATCTGTATTCAAGAGAGAGAATGACACAGCGGACAGAATGGTGGGGGCTCATGTACACTGAGATTGGCACATGTTTCCATTGAACTCTACGCGTTTCTGTATGCCTAGAGATGTTCATTAGCTTATGGAGTACCATGCACTACAGAACATGATGCAGATGTTCTGCACAAGCTTTTAAAAAAAATTCAAGGATGGAAAGATGGAAATTCTCTCAACTACTAAAGGGTTTCTGAAGATGTGGGTATCTCACCCGTTTGCCCCCAGTGTTTAAAAGAGCGCAGAATCTTGACGATTTCTCGAGGTTGGTGAAGAATCGAGGCTTCCTTCTTTCGGAAGGAAAAACCGGGCTATAGGGGAAATTGAGAGCCTCTTGGACCAGTGTTTGCTTATACCACCCATCTTTACTGATCTGCAGCTGTAGGTAGGACGGGATGCGCTTCTCAGCTTGCGCAAGAATGAGGATCTTCACAGGTGCAGGGGCATACAACTGCTGCTGGTTGTAGAGGAGACTTCCTAGAAATGTGTTCTCTGGAATACGAGGCGCTTCGGGGTTGCTCTCCTGTCCAGTGTGGCCCACGAACAGGCCAAGTTTGTTGGCGATGACAGGAAGTTGGCACTGGGATTGGGCAGGGAGGTTGGGGAGGGCTATGACCTTCACCACCATGTCATCCGCTTTAGAGAAAAGATCGACTGCAACGGGAAAGACTGCAGGTCGCATATGAGGGTAGTCTCGGAGAGCTGGGGCGGGGATGTTCCAAGCTCCTTCTTTGTCACAGACGACGACGAAGAATCCCTCACAGACACGCTTGTGCATGGTTGCGGCGATGTCATGTCCCCCCAACCAATCCCCCAACCATTCACAAAACAAGTTGTGCGGAATGTTGGGCCCAAATGTAATCAGCACAGAGCACCTAATGCTCCGTTCATTCGCCTTCTCCAGTGCTGGAATGGAAAAGAAAACGACACAAGGGTTACCAAGACTTGTAACGGGATCCTTAACTTCTTTCCACCTTGTCTTCGTCACCACCATGGTTAACTCTGTAGAGTTGTTCACTCAGTCCAAAACCTCAACCGTGTATCCCACACTTGGACGGTCACCAATTTCAGTCCAGCTATCTTCACGGAATCCTCGAACGCATTCAATAAGAGCTGTTCTCGGAATCGCCTGTGAGAGTTTGATACGGCTTCTCAAAATTGCAGGTACGATCCAAACTCCATGAAGCTGTTGCTGCCGAACACGACAAGCCAGTGCCTAAAACTGCAAGTTTAGGGTTGCAGTTTATTGATAATTCAACATCACTATCTGTAGGAGATCAAAGAGAAGTTCTTATGTCAACAGGGACTTCCACCATCCGTTGAAACCATTATAATTCCATCCATGGTTATAATTCCATTTCCAATTTCAGAAGCTTTGCGAGTAAGATGTCGAGAAAGTAAAATAGCTATGGCGATGAAGGCAGCTCTAAAGGCCTGACCAAATTCCTACAAGTTGGTGTAATGTATGCGGTATATGCAAACTTCATATCCCCTGTGAACGGGTGGCAAAATTTGAAATAGCAAAGGTTGGCTGAGATAGCAAAAGTTATAAGACCTTTCCTATAATGAGCGGCTGTACTGGACGTTCAGTTGCACAAAACTTCACAATTCTAATCAGAAACCTTTGAGCGTCTCAGTTACAAAGTCTGTTGCCAATTATCCAGATTTCATTAAAAAAATCCTAACGACACAATCTCAAATTCGAGTTAATACGCAGAGCCCTTCAGCATCAAGAAAGCAGCATGTGCTCAGTATCAAACAGTCGGCCCCGAATAAGTTTGCAAATTGTCCAACTCCTCAAATAATTCCAGAAGATTCGCTTGTAATGTGTGAATTATCTTTCTATTCTCAACTTTACATATAGAAGCACAAATTGATCTTGATCATCAACCGCATGTGACATCCTCATAATTCAACCTCCAGGTAAGATGAAAGAAAAGACACATTTTTTACCCTCTACCATTTCCCAGTACTTTTCAATGGATATCCTGCCGGGACACACTTGGATTGAAAGGGTTCAACCAGCATCCATTACATGCTTCTGAGAAGAATACTATACAACCTGCTCCATAGAGTTCTGGAAAATCGGAAGTTGAAATTCACTTCACAGCCTACCTGCCAAGTTAGAAGATGATTGAGTATTAAAAAAAACGAAAAAATACTATTCCTGACTCCTGAAACAAAGTCCTACTGGCATGCAAATGGCATCCAAAATGTCTACAACTCACACGAAAAATTGATCACAAAAAAGGAACTTGTGAATCACTTACACGAAAACAAGTACACATCACGTCTGATATCAGACGACGAACACTAGTATAAAAGATTCAATTTCCGACTCTGAATATACGAATCCAACCCTTGCCAAAAATTAAGAACGGCTGTCTTGTCTTGATGTCGCTTGTGCTTGCTAAGCTGCCATAAAGAACAAAAGACATCAATAAGCGGAAAGTTAATGCATTTCTGGCATCGAGAGAAATTACCTATCCAGTACTGTTACCAAATATCAAAAGTAGATAAACTCTAGAATCATGCAAAGGACAATCCCCTCGATGCTCTTCAACGTCTATTTCAGAAGTTAAGTAGGGCATTTTACTCACATTGATAATCTTAACATTCCACTGCATAACTTGTTTCGCTGATTCCACACTATCATCTTCAAATCGCAGAAAGACTCCCATGACTGGCAATGTGCAACACTCAAATTAGTACGATTCTGTGAGTCTTTGAGCAACACCGCAATGAACGAAGTTCGTGCCATAAAGAAGACCACTAAAAGTAGCGCTCATACTACAGGGCTCGTACAATACAATGTCTTTTGTTTTAAGATACAAAGCTGGAAAACTCTTACATTTGTTGAAAATCTCTACTCGATCACTGAATGGCCAACCCTTGAATTGCCAATCTTTTCCCAACACGAATATAGCCACGACCCGCTCCCAATCCTTAGAAGTGAGTCCTTGAACCTTGTCTCTAACTTCATAGGGAACTGGCCGCTCCCTGCCCATCTTCCGCTGAACAAATACAATATCCACTTTCTTCGCCATACCTTTAACTTTGACCTCGGGAGAAACGTACACGCCATCTTCGAGGAACTCCTTCACATTGAACGTGTTCAGAAGAGTCTGTGACGCGCTCGGAACAATTATTATTGGAGGACCATCAGGTTTAGTTTTCACATTGGGTCTATGATGTGGATGGTGGGGAGGACGCTGAGAAGCCTTCGAATCAGGTTTCATTCTTGCTGCGTCTTTTTTCTTTGAATCCGAAATGTACGACTGAGAAGGATTTATTCCCAACTCTTCAGCAACATCTGTTCCCAAGTGTTCTTTCCAAAACCGTTTCTCCTCTACATTAGCGTATCGATTGGCAGAGTTTGGAGCAGGCATCAGTCCATCAGGTCCTTTTCCTAAATCCTTCCTTACATCAACGTCTGGTATTTTCTTGTCATCATCTCTCTTGGTTAGCAGAGAGGATAAAACACTCTCAAAACTTTTGTTATGGCAAAGAAGGATTGTCTCACGATCTCTGACAGGCCATTCACGCTCCCGAATGATATTAATTACTGATGCCCCGTCATCGCAAAACTGTGTCTCCATCACATTCTGTCCTTCCCAAGGCTGAGCTCGAAATTTCTTAGCAGCATGATGATCTACGTCGTCCACTCCTACGACCTCGGGCTCTTCGTCGTGAGCATGCTTCCCTCCTGCCCATTCATTGATGCTAGCTGGAGCTGCTGTAGGTGGAAGAAGCTCAATTGCATCATTCGTAGCAACTCTTCCCTCCAAGTAATCTAGGAGAGGCTTCCTGTCAGTGAAGGTTGCAAATTGGAGTTTCGCTGCGCGGGCTGCATTCATGTAATCAGTGTGCTTCATATGTATGTTTTTCACGAAAAACACAAGAGAGTCCAACGTGTAGAAACCTCCTTGCTTCGACCTGTATGCAGTCTCGATGTTCTTGCGGAAACTGTAGTCGTCACCAAAATTATATACATCTCCAACCAGCTTCACCTGGTCCAATTCACCGCGGATAGTGTAATCTCGAAGAACACTCAGAGGATCCATTGCTACAGACCTTCAAACAATCCCGGTCAACTCAACGTTTCGACTTCCTCTTGAAAACTCAACCCTCGTCAAAAACCCTAATCTTATATAACTCGATCACCGCTACCAGCAACAGCGCTAACTGCAGAAATCTGTCGCAGCACAATTTGCTAACAACCAGTGAGCTAGGAAGTATGAAGCACCCGAAAAAACCACCGACGAAGAAAGTAACAAACGAACAGCCCGCCCAGATTAATCGCCGAAACTCTCAACCGTACGCGAAACGGCAAAAATCAACTGTAGAATCCAAACAGGCCATCTGCTCCACTGAAGACTTGGGAAATTCTCTTCCACAGCACTAACACGCAAACACGACTTAATAAAGCTCCTTGTCCAGCAACACTCGTCATTACTCGCTACCAGGGACTTCCAAAGACAAATCCTTCGCCCAACTCGGAATGAAAACTTCCGGACAAATCCGAAACGGCACCTTTAAACTCACGAAAAATAACTAAAAAGCGCCGGTCTATCTCGAGGCTCACATCCAAACAAAAAGTGCCATAACACACCTCGAGTAGTCTAAAGCATCCCACCAGGGACCGCCATAGCTGCTAACACAGAGCTTCAACACGCGCGTGAAGGGAGACGCAAATTCAATTCAGGGCTCTTACGTGGTGAAGTGTATGTACCTATATCAAGGGCAAAACATCAACCGGGTATGAAAAAACTGGGTAACAATAGAAAAAAGGATATCAATTCATGCAGTTATATAATTTTGGTTTCACGCTGAGAATTTTTTTGCATGAGTTACACTGCTTCACAATGAACAGCTTCAGAGGCACAGGAACTTGAGCAGCTTCGGCAGAGGACTCGAGTGCTTGAGATAATATAGAATCATAAAATATACACAGATAAGAATATATTAAATTTTGGTATTAAAGTAATAAATTTAACAATATTCATGATTTAAAATCAAAACTACTTATTTTTTGCTAGGTGTATATGGGGGGTGTACACCTAATGGTTCACAACTTTTTTTTTGTATTTTGTGGAAAGCTGATCAAATTTGGTAGAATTACTCCTCTTAAAATGTTGATTTCTTTTGGGGTCTACATAAAATACAGGATTATAACTTCAAGTATCCAACAGAGTCAATTGCATTTCAGGATCATAATATTTGAGAACTTGTTTGGATAAATTGTCTAACTAATAAGAGTTTACAGCTTATTTATGCCTAAAGGATTATGCTAGGACAATAAACATGAATATTATGTTGGATTGAACTCCTTGGTAAACCACAAATAGGGAGTACTTTATCATCTCTCATAAATAGAGACCTACATCTATTAGTAATTGATAAGTAAAATCTTTCAATATAAGATGTGTTTTTTTATTGTATATCACAATAAGATAATACACTTTATTTTATAATTGTTCTCTCATAGTATCATTGCAAGCTTGGTCTTGAGAATTTGTTGAATATTCCAATTATCTTTATTTTTCTTACATCTTTTTGTTTTTAGAAATAGAATAGTCAACTATTTATATTTCTCTTTTGGATGTGAGCCCAAACTCTCTACTATTATATTATTATAGTACTTCAGTAAAATCCACGATAGATTAAGTTAATGCATTTAATAGAATTAATGAGCTATTAGAATCCTAAGAGGAATGGATATAATAGTATCTAGAGACGCAATACTGTTAAGACCTTCAAAATTCAATTTGTGGGATTCCACTTTGTAAAGCAACTTCAAGCAAATGATCTATGGGATGTCATTGAAGATCCACTTTTAGCATCAAAAACCTCCAGTGCTAAATCAAGTGATCAAAGTACTTTTCTCAAGTCATCTAGGCCATATCTAGTCCCACAATAGCTTCTCCTTTTATCAATAATACACTTAGATAGAAGCAAATACGTATGAAATCTTATATTAAATTCTTGATCTAACTCGAGATACAAGTATATATTGAAGACATTTCACATCCAAGAGCCCCTTAGAATTGTCTAGAATCGATATATCATATTAATAAGATTATTGATATCATGCTAGTAGTCAAAAAATGGTACACACTCCATATGATCAAGTATATGGATGTCTCCATGTTCATCACTAAAATATAAGAAATTCAATGAGAGATAAATACTATCAATCAGTGGCAATCTTATGCCATTATTGTTCATTGTGTACAAAAAAAAATTATCCACCAAATTTCAGCATCTAGTGTGATAAATCTAGAATGAGAGAAACATTTCATTGCTAGAAGAATTAAGTGCAAGACTTCACAACAAGAAAAACTTTGTATCATTATAAAAAGATGAATCTAATGAAGTCCTCATGATGAAGATTTGAAATGTAGTACAATGTCGATACAAATCTTAGTACATCACCTATGGTTTTAGACCATCAAGACATTTCTAAGTTCCCATTAAAATTAACAATAAACTAATCCAAATGATTTTTTTTGTAATACATGCAAGAAATAAGGATATACTTCAATTCTAGTGCCTTCGCATATTTTTTAGGAAACAAAAGTTTATTTTAATTCTTAGATCCACCTCATGCCAACTTTGTGATTTCAATAGGACAAAAAGTATATGTAATTAAAGGCTAAGATCTTGCTCAAGTATTATTTCTATCTAGTGAAATAAAAACCCTTAGACACATTCAATATGTGTTGGGCCTGTATCAAAATATTGTCTCAATAGAAAAGTTCACCAACTCTAAGAATGTAGCCTTATTTTATTTATTCATATGCTTAGTTTTTATTAGAAATAAATTCTACAAAGTAGTAGCTTTAAAAAAAAAAAAACAAACAAACAAACAAACAAATAAACAAATAATAGATTGTATAAACTCATAGCCATGCAAAATCTTTAGCTTAAAAATCTGAAATTCATTAATACAATCAAGACATAATCCAAGAGAAAAACTCTAGTAGAAATTTGACAAATTCCATCTTTTTTTTCCAACTATAACATTATAAGCTGAGACTTATAACCATCCTAGCTTCACTTTATTAAACAACCATAATCTAGCTATTGGAATACCATATTTTTTTTTATAGTATTTCAATTTTGTGATGCTTGCCAACATGGCAAGTAAACTCAAAAATACTTTTCAAAAAAATTGTTCTTTTATGTCTTTTTACTACTTTCTCTTATCTATACTAGCTTATGTGGCAAACTATTTATATCTATGTTAAAAAAATTAAATGTTTCTTACTATTTATTAATATCTTCAGCAAATATTCTTGAATATAATTTCTACAAAGTAAGGGCAAAGTTCTAGATCAATTCAAGCAATTCAATGCTATGATCAAATGACAAATATAGCAAAAAATCCTTACTTTATGATCTAATAAAAAATGAGAATTCATATCTTAGGATTTTAATCAGTACCTCCATGCACATAGAATCAATAAAAAGTTAACCATTGTTCAAACACTCTTTTAAAATAATATCTTAGAATCTAAAAATAAGATAATCTTAAATATGATTTATACCATGTTGTCAAGAAAAGAATCCCATAAAAGTAAATTAACAAATAAGACTTTTTTCATAGAAGTATGGTATAATAGAAATATATATATATATATATATTAAAAAAAACTAAAATAGCTATTACCAAAAGTCAAGAAAACTAAAGACTCTTGAATCTGGACTCAAGCAAAAAAAGAATATACAATAGTGAAAAGGACTTCACTTTTGCTTCTATATATACTATCTACCTATGAGCTATGTAGCAACATTGTATAGGTCCTTTGACATGTGTTGACTTTATAAGCCATATGTCTTAACTTGCAAGCAAGTTTTTTATGTTTGTGCCACATAATTAGTTTGTTCAATAAGCTATCCATATATGTGATATGTTGTCATGTTGTGGTTCGTCTACCATGTGAAAATAATGTGATTATATGTTTAATTTATAATTTACTTAGTAACATGGTGAGAGCCATGTTACTGGATTTTAGTTGATTGTAGAGTGTGGTTAAATTACTACTTTAAAATGAGGTTGATTAAAAGAATTACTATTAGAATTTTTTTAACTTTATTTTCTTTTGATAGTGGCTTTTGAGATTGATTTTGTTGATAGTAACTTTAAATATTTAGAGTCACATATATGAGACATTAGTGACCCTTGAAGTCTTATTTTGGTTCTTTAATTTAGTGTTTAGAGCATATATTGAGTAAATCTTATAAAGAAAAGAATTGGAGAGAGGTTTTGGTAGTAAAAAGAAAGTTTAGGGCATCCATATAGATGAATGGACATGGATGATAAAAATCTTTATTCCTATTGATCAAAAACCATTACCAATGGGCTTTGAGGAGGCTATCCGTGGCCATATTTGAGATTAGGGTTAGTTTTTTGGAGGCATTTGAGCTTTGGAGGCTAAGGTCAGTAAGTTTAGATTTTTGGCTATGGTTTTGGTGCAAATTTTGTGTGATTTGGAGTTTATATGAAAGAAATATGGATGCTCAAAGTTAGTGTGTTGATTTTGTACCTACTATCATTCTTTTGGATATAATGTATGCGTATAGAAAGCAACTGAGGATCTGCAATTGGAGTTGGAGAAGGCTCTCTTTTCGCTACACTTTTGGTATACTGTTTGATGGATTTTAAATTTGAGTGAAGGAGATATTGGAGGTTGAAGTCAGTGCTTGCAAATCTAAAGGCAATAAGTGACCTGAATTAATAGTGGTTGTGTTTTGAACTTTATCTTGTGCAATTTGACAAGATTTTGGCTAAGAATTTCCAAAAATAAGTATTTTCATATAATCAAACTTTTTATATAAGTTTTTTGGCATTTGGATTTTGAATTTGTGATATAAAAAGAAAATAGTACTTAGGTGCTTGTGAATTAGGATTTTAGAGCACCTTCTAGGATTTTTAAGATATCAAACGATCGGTAGCAAATTTACAATTGAATTTTTGTAAAATAAAGCTTAAGGATGAATTCTATAATATCTGTGAATTTGACAAAATCTGAACGGTTGGAACAAGAGATATGAATTTATAAAGTTTAAGAAGAAGAAATCCTTTGTGAGAATATTATATTTTGAAGGAATTTTATTATAACTTGAGCATTTTATACAAAGTTAAGGAGTATTTTGGAAGCCAAGACTTTATATATATGTTAAAGATGGATATATAGAGCTAAAGTTGAATTTTTGTATAAAGATAAGCTTTTGAGAGAACATTGTGGATTTCCTTTGAAGTTATTGAAAATCTAATCTACCAACAGATGGTTAGCTATGATTTGATATAGCCAAGAATGTTAGAAAATTTCTAGATATTTTAAAAAGCCTTATATATAAACCATCTTAAATATAAAAGAATTTATTAGTATAATATCTTTTTGATATTATAGTATTTATTTCTCTTCTATTTTTAAGGTTAAATAACTTATTGGAGCTTGGCCAATAAGTTAAAACTAAACTCTCTAGAGCTAGATACCTAATGTATTTCCAAATAGAAAACCACATAATACAACAATATGTTAGAAATTTGATCAAGTTTCTAATCTAAAAACCAATTATAAATACATATAAAGTCAAAATTGTGTCCATAAAGCTTTTAAAAAGCTTTTTTAGAAGATATTATGAAATTAATCTATTTTTTCATTTTTATCTACTTCTATATGATTATATAGA